AATACCACATGACAATTCAGTCAAAGGGCGCGCTTTCAAACCCAAAAAAATTTTGGAGTTTTTTTTTTTTTTTATTAAAAGCACTATTTTTCCTTTCACCCACCTACGGGTTCTTTTTTTTCGCACCCCACTCCAAGGTTTAGGGACTGATTAACCTCCCTTTTTCTGTATAAGTCCTTCTGTCCCTTTAAATTATTTTTCCTAGAAAATTTTTATTGATAAAAACCACTGGATGGCGAAACATCTACAAAAAAGAAACCCAATGTTGCACCTTTGTCTTAATTTCATCTTGTCTTTTTATATACCCTTTCTTGCACAAAAAGAAGTTATTGAAAAATAAGAGGGTGGGGTACGGGTAACCCGGAAAAAAAGCCATAATGTATGGGGGGAAACAAATCAAAAATCACTTTTATCCTGGCAAAGAAAAATAAAAACAAGGAAAAATAGTTGTTGCAAAAAGGGGTAAAAGCGCTAACCAAAAAAAAAGGTCGCCAAAAATGGAAAAAATTGGGGAAATTATTGCTGTTTTGGGATCACCAAAATTTCCCCGGAAAATATGGGTTTTGCGTCGGGTTATTTGTGAAGGGCAAAGGAGTTTTCATGCGGAACTTGTAAAGAAAATATTTAAACAAGTGCTGCCCCTTTGAATTTTGGGCCAAACAAAGGCTGGGTTTTTTAGATTTAAAAAGTGTAATTTGGGAAACACATGGGTAAAGGCCCTGGCGAGGCTGCAAGTTTGGGAAATGTGCAGCTGAAAATTTTGTGCAGGAAATTTTAAAGGGGGAACATAAAGGCTTTAAAAATTCCTCCCCCCAAAAAGTGTTTAATTGTGGGTGAAACAGGCCTCTTTTGAAAGAAAATGCCCAAAAGGACCTACATTACCCAGGAAAAAAAAAAACCCTGCCAGGGCCAAGCCCCCCATGAAAGACAGGGATACTCTTTTTTTTTCTGTCTAATTTTATGGGGATTTCAAAGTGAACCTTTACTGGTGTATCACCGAAAATCCCAGAGTGTTTTAAGAAAAACAATTTTGTCCCAAAATAGATTGTGTGTGAAGTGGAAACTAATAATAAGGCATGGGTTCCCCAAGGGGACCCTTTCCAAAAAAGTTTGGGGCAATGATTGTTTTTTCCCCAGTGGTAAAAGTACCCCCTGAATTAAACCTTTCCAGCACGTGCCTCCTGTAAATTTGGGCAATGCCCCTCTCATTCTCCGACTTGGAAGACCCCAAAATTTTTTAGGGACTTTTTAGGTTTTTAACAGGGAATTTTTTTGCCTCCTAACACCACCCTTCCCCGTCCACCCTTTGGGCCACAGGGCATTTCTAACTTCAAAATACTCTAAAAACCCAAAACAAGTGTTTCAAAGGTGCTTTGCAGTGGGCCCGGGGGACCATCTGACCCAAAAAGAGTTTTTGGGAAACCCTTCAGTTCCTCCCCCGCAAAAGCCTTAAAAGGGAAGGGTTTGGGAGGGGGTGACTTCCCGGACACTGAACTGTGCTTGGAGAAAAATTTTGGCCAGACTGTTTTTTTTCCCCCCCCCCCCCCCTGAAGGGGGAAACTATTGCATCTTTGGGGAAGCCCCGGGGGAAAGGAGGAAGGGGGTGAGGGTGTGGAAGAGTTAGTGGAGGAAACCCCATTTAAAAGCTAACCACTGAAAAGCCCGCAAGAGCTTGAGGGAAATTGCTCAAGGGGAGGGAAAAGGGAGGGAAGGGGGTCCCCTTTTTCAAGATTAAGGAAAATTTTTTGGCCCAAAGTGGAGTGGGTGGCAATCTTTTGTGTAAAATATCACCCTACCAAGCTGATTTCTTTCATTTTTGGGTTTTTGTTAAGAAGCATCTTTTCCCTCCTACTTGCCCAAGTTTCAAAAAGGAAATCCAACAAATAAATGAATCCCAAATTTCCCCAGATCAAGAGCAAGAGCCCCTCGCCAGTGGGCCAAAAGGGAAACTGCCTTGGGGGTCCGCTCGCTTTTTGGGGAAAATTTTTTCTCGTCTAAAAGGAAAACAAAAAATCCCCCCCCCATCAACTGTCGTTTTTTGGGAAAAAACCCCACGTAGACATTTCTCGAAAATGGGGGCCCACTATACATTTATTCCCCAAAGGGAAAAAATTAAAATTTTGCTTTTTGGGAAAAATTTTTGGGTTTTTTGGGCCCAAACCTTTTGGAACGGGTTACAACCGATAACCGAGGGGCCACTGTATAGGTTTTGGGAACGATATTTAACCCCTTTAAAAATCCAAACGTAATCTATGTTTTCCCCTGCCGGCGCTCCAAATATTTTGGGTTTTTTTTTTTTTTTTAAATTAAAAAGGGCAATTTTTTTGTGGGTTTAAAAAAAACAAAAAAAATTATATCAGTTTTTACTGAAATTAGACTGCAATTGGGGCTGGATGCTCATCCCGAAAGGAACTCCAGTCCTGCAAAATTGGGAGAAGGGTTAAACCCAAAATACCTTTTTTTCCTTTGATTTTTTTTTTAATTTAAAAATTATTATAAACCCATTACATAGCATAAATCTTAACATACATCAAATAAAAACTAGTAAATATAGATTTGTTTTTAAAAGCAGCATGTAGGGGGGTTTTGGGGAAGAATTTACTTTTTCTCAGTCAAACACGGGGGGGTAACTGTAGAAAAATATTCTTTTCGCATACCTTTATCTATGTATAGAAATTTCACGCCCCCTTGGGGTTTAGTGTTTTTTTTAAAATAAATAATAAAAATTATTATTGTTATTTTTTTTAATTATTATTTTATTATTTATTTTATTATTATATTAATATTATTATCTTCTTTCACTCTAAAAATGGTGTTCTGTTTGTTTTTCTGAACTAAATTGTACAACTTGTAACTATTGTAAGAGTATTTGTATTGTGAGGTAATTATTATTAAATAAAAAATTATTGAGGTAAATGTTTTACAAACTTTTTACAAATGGACATGAAGAACTAAAAGTAGACACACATTAATACCCATTCTTTTCGCCTGACCAAGTGATCGTCCACTACTGTTCAGTTAGTGTTCTTATGTTGTCTCAACCTGTATCCCGTTCTCTCTCTCGTTTACTCTTTCGTTAACTAGTTGGCTCTCATTTATGATGGGCACCCTAAGGTTAGCTGTAATAAAAAGGAAGTCGAAGCCTTTTGCTTAAAGTGCCAAGTAGGGATGTGGTGGCCATTCTGATTTATCAAAACACCTGCCACCACCTCTCAACATTACAGGGGACCCCCGCATAACGATTACCTCCGAATGCGACCAATTATGTAAGTGTATTTATGTAAGTGCGTTTGTACGTGTATGTTTGGGGGTCTGAAATGGACTAATCTACTTCACAATATTCCTTATGGGAATAAATTCGGTCAGTACTGGCACCTGAACATACTTATGGAGTGAAAAAAATCGTTAACCGGGGGTCCACTGTAATATTAATATTTTAAGGTAAGTAATAAGTGTACTCTGTGTGTATCTTACCTTTCATTGAGTTTTTAATGCCTATTTCTATTGCTAACTTAATATAAGTTAGTGTAAACTTGTTGTCTGGCATTTATTGCATATTTTATATGCTCTGATAATAATACTTTTGGAGCCGGGTGGAGGGACAACATTACGTTTTCTCTGCTCAGCCATCAGAGAAAACGTGTATGAATCTGCGTCTGGCCCAGCCACTCCCCCACTCCGCTTTTGTTTACAATTTTCGGCATGAATTATTCATTATTTTCTACCTTCATTTATGATGGCATCTAAAGGTAGTTGTTAGAAATGATTAAATTCAGTGACAAGGCATGCCGATGTTAATATGGCTCGGGGCCACAGTGTAGGTAGCCGTGGGGTGAGCCCAGGCGGGCTACACCTCCCACTTATTTTCTACAAATAAATACACTCACCTCTCTTCCTATATTAAGACTACACATATTTTAAGGTAAATAATGAGTGTACTACATGTGCATTTTTACCCCTCTGGGATGTTTTAAAATCGTATATTAAGTAATGAGAGGGGGAGCCAGGCTACCTACACCTGGGCTACCTGCACCTGACTTCCTACAAATAAGTACTACTCACCTCTCTCCCTACATTAAGTTACAAATACTTTAAGATAAGTAATAATTTACTGTGACTGTATTTTATTTTTGTGTGTTTTTAATGCCTAATTCTTTTACTAACATTTTAATTTTAAAATGTAAACTTGTTGTCTGGCATTTATATGCATTTATAAATGGAAAAAAAATGGAGTTCTGCCTTCCGGCATGTCTGCTTTCCCGCGACAGCCTGGAACCCCAACCCGCCATATAAGTGGGGCCCTACTGTAAAATGGAATTAATCCCCTTCCAGACACCCAGAAGTATCAACAAAAAATTTCTTTTTTACCTTATAGATTTACATGCACAAAAGAATGAATATTAAACATGACACTTACCTTATTGAAGGCTGTTGTTGTTGGAAGGAAGACAGGGAGGAGGGGAGAGGGAAGAGAGGTTATTCTTTGGAAGGGGAATCCCGCTTCATAAGAACTGTAGGTACCAAGTCCCCTTTTCCGGGTCACTTCAATAGAAATGTTTGGATGAATGAGCACAAGCTTCCTCACTTGCTCAAATACACAGCTAGACTGACGTGCAAGCTGCAGCGGCCAGATGGTTGATAACCGAAATAACGGCAGATAACCGGGAGCTGAAAACCTGGCCAATAACTGAGTTGGCCGATAGCCGGAACAGCCGATAAATGAGGGTCCACTGTAATTATCTTTAGTTATTCTATAAAAAAATAAAGTTGCTAAGTTTTTGACATACAAAATATCTTGTCTTTTACTCCCAAACAAATCCTAAAATATGTGAAATATTTCCAATATTCCACAAGCCAATAGTAGAACAATAATTTTTTTATGATTCCTGTCAATATTATTGCATTAACTTCACGACTTTTGTCCAAGAAAATCTCTCTTGTTTTAGTGTTTTCCTTTTGAAACTAGTGATCTAGTGCAGTTAGCCTCTCAAAAACTCTGTTTTCTCTTACCCAGGACCAATGAGCACATTATAGGAAAGAGCAGTAATGATGTAAGCAAGTGTTCCTTGACGGTTCCTGATCTCCAAGGTAAATACACTTTATAAAACCAGTTTATTTCTTTACTTTCTCTTTTATTATGTTTCATACAACATTTCTTATTTATAAATACATTTTTCTTATTTAAAAACAAATAACAAAAATTGGGGGCTGGATTAAATTACAGTGGACCTTCGACCAACGATATTAATCCGTTCCTGAGAGCTCATCATTAATTGAAATTATCATTAGTCTAGTTAATTTTCCTCATAAGAAATAATGGAAATCAAATTAATCTGTGCGAGACACCCAAAAGTATTGGAAAAAAAAATTTTACCACATGAAATATTAATTTTAATACACACAAACTGAAGAAGACATGTACAATTACATGACACTTACCTTTATTGAAGATCTGGTGATGATTGATAGGATGGGAGGAGGGGAGACTGTGGATGGTGTCAGTGTTTAGAAGGGAAATCCCCTTCCATTAGGACTTGAGGTGTCAAGTCCTTTTCCGGGGTTACTTCCCTTCTTCTTTTAATGCCAACAGGACCAGCTTGAGAGTCACTGGACCTCTGTCACACAACATATCTGTCCATAGTGGCCTGTACCTCCCGTTCCTTTATGATATTCCTAAAGTGTTTCACAACATTGTCAGTGTCACAATTAAACACTTGTTCAGGTTTCAATTCTTCACTGTCTATGTACTCCTTGAATTCCTGCACATATTTTTCAGCTGCTTTTTGGTCCAAACTGGCAGCCTCACCATGCCTTATCACACTATTTATGCCACTACGATTCTTAAATCTCTCAAACCAACCTTTGCTGGCCTTAAATTCACTCACATCACCACTAGTTGCAGGCATTTTTCTAATTAAATCCTCATGCAAAATTCCTAGCCTTTTCACATATGATTGCTTGAGAGATGCTATCTCCTGCTATCTATTTTTCGTTTATCCACACCAATAACAGTCTCTCAACATCTTCTATCACTTGCGATCTCAGTATCGAAAACATAGTTGCACCTTTGGCAAGAACAGCTTCCTTGATTGCCGTTTTCTTGGCCACAATAGTAGCGATGGTTGATTGGGGTTTTGTGTACAACCTGGCCAGCTCGGAGACACACACTCCACTTTCATACTTAGCAATGATCTCTTTCTTCATATCCATCGTAATTCTCACCCTTTTTGCTGTAGGGTTGGTACTAGCAGCTTTCTTGGGGTCCATGGTGACTTATTTTGCAGGTGCAATCACTAAAAACGCTGATAATATGAAATGCTCCGATTGTATGTTTGGATGGGACCGCGGTGGCTGGCTGGCTTGTAAACACTGGCCACAAGTGGACGCGTCTCAGACGGAACGAATCGTGTTGGTCGAGTTTTTTAGCGCTAGTCGAGGCAAAATTTTTGTGTTAAAATGTATCGCTAGTCGGATTTAACGTTAGACAATGCCATCGTTGGTCGAGGGTCCACTGTAATGACATTTCACTTAATTTCAGTGAGGAAAACTGATTTGATGTATGAGCAAATTGAGTTATGAGCTTGGTCACGGAGTGAATTAAACTCATGAGTCACGGTACCACTGTAATAATAATTTATAATAATAATAATTTACAGTAATTTATAATAATAATAATTTACAATAATAATAATAATCGCTCTGGAGTGCTTTAAATGTCATACGTATTTTGTATAGGTTTGGTAGCTGACATTTAACCCTTTCAGGGTCCACAGGCCCTCTCAGAGACTTGTTCTCAGGGTCCCCAAATTTCAAAAAAAAAAAAAAATAATTTTTTCTTATGAAAAGATAATCTTTTCCCGATCATAATGACACCAAAAGTATAAAATTTGATGGAAAACTTACGGAATTATGCTCTCGCGAAGTTAACGGTCTTGACGATGTTTACATATCGGAGATTTTGCCCACTTTGAGCCCTATTTTTGGCCAATTCCAGTGTACTAGTCGACAAAAATCATAACTATTTCACTAGAACTTCATTTTTTATATCGAATGAGTACAAGAAACCACCCATTTACCAATTTCAAATATCCAATACAGTGGTCAGAATTTAGCAATTTTGCCAATTTCACACAAATTTCAAAAGATGCCAATTTCCAAATAGGGTCCAGAATAAACAAGAAAGACATTCCTGGCACTAAAATAACATTTCCTCTGTTCATTAGTCACGTCTCAAGGCCCCTCTTACATTCTTTTGCTTTCCACTTTGAATTTTTATTCTCACAAAAAATAGAAGATTTACTGTTATGCAGACTACTGCATTAGTGTAAAAATGGTATAAATAATATTGGCGCACTTGTGAAAGAATATTAGACTCCCCAGTTGACGTGTATTGGACGCTTAGCATGATTTGTTTACTTTTGAACTTAGGTAAAAATCGAACATTTCTGCTACTTTGAGCTCAATTTCAAGGTACTTTTCATTGTAAAACCAGTCAAAATCATATCAATTTCTGTAATGTGTCTTCCATTCTATAAAATTAGACGAGGAAAACTAGAATTCAACAATAAATTCTAGTACATCAAAAACCCTGGTGCGTAAGCCGTACTAGTACGTCCGACACCCTGAAAGGGTTAACCCCTTGACTGTCGCAACCCCAAATCCTGAGGTGTCTCCTGGTGTCACAAAATTTCGAAAAAAAAAAAAAAATATTTTTTCTTATGAAATGATAGAGAATCTTTTCCCAATTGTAATGACACCAAAAGAACGAAATTTGATGGAAAACTGACAGAATTACACTCTTGCAAAGTTAGCGACCTTGGTATCATTTACGAATTGGCGATTTTTGGCCACTTTGAGCCCTATTTTCGGCTAATTGCATTGTTCCATTCGACCAAACTCATAGCCATTTCTTTAAAACTCCTTTTTTTTTTCTATCAAATGAGTACAAGAGACTGCCCATTTACCGATTTCAACTACCCAATAACGTGGTCAGAAATTTGCAATTTGGCCAATTTCACGAAAATTAAAAATTAAATTTTTATTCAAACAAAAAATAGAAGAAATACTGTTATGCAGACTGCTGCAATACTGTAATAATTGTATAAATAATGTCAACCCATTCATGACTGCATATTAGCATGGCTACTTGGACATTTATTGGAAAATGACATCATTTGTTTACTTTTGAACATTGGCAAAAATCAAACATTTCCCCTACTTTGAGCTCCATTTCAAGGTTCTATTCATAGTAAACCCAATCAGTATCACCTCAATTTCTATATGTTTTCCATTCTATCAAACGAGTCCAAGAAAACGAGAATACAACCATAAATACTATATGAAAATAGACCACAAATTCGGCATTTTAACCCTTTCAGAGTCCATGCCGTAGATCTATGGCTTTACGTTCAGGGTCCAAACCGTAGATCTACGCCATAAGCTCAGCTCTCTCTGATAAGCTGTGAGTAGTAAATTTGGGCCTAGATATGAGAGAATAAATCTGTGTGGTATGTGTGCACCACATAAAACAAATCCTGCAGCAAACAGTGTATAATGAGAGTAAAAAACTGAGAGCGTGATTTTCGATTAAAACAGCGACTTTGCAGTGTTTTTTCATATGTTTTTTATAGTTGTATTTGCGATTTCTTGGTCTCATTTGATAGAATGGAAGACATATTACAGAAATAGAGATGATTTTGATTGGCTTTAGCACTGGAAATGGCTTGAAACTGAGCTCAAAGTGGAGGAAATGTTAAATTTTTGCCGATGTTCAAGAGTGAACAAACAACCTCGCACGTAAACCATCCCCCCGGCCGGGATTGAACCCGAGGTCAATCGTGTCATTACAATTTCTTGAGTCAACCTCGCACGTCTAATACATGCCAGCTTGTGGGTCTAATATACATTGACAAATGAGATGATGATATTTATACAATTATTACAATATTGCATAACAGTAAATCTTCTATTTTTTGGTTTGTATAAAAATTCATTATGTGAATTAGAAATCAAAATGGAATTCATTTGTAAAGCCTGAAAACATAACCAATGAGCAGAGGAAATGTTAGTTTAGTGCCAGGAATGCCTGCATTGTTTATTCTGGACCCTATTTTCAAATTGGAATATTTTGAACTTTGTGTTAAATTGGCCAAATTACCAATTTCCGATAACTTTATTTTGTAGTTGAAACAGTTGACTGGGCGATTTCTTGTGCTCAATCGATAGAATAGATGTAATACTAGTGAAATAGCTAAGAATTTGGTTGTCTGGAATAATGTAATTGGCCTAAAATGGGAGTCAAAGTCGGCAAAATCGCCGATCGTAAATATCACTGGCACACCAAAATTTGTGAGAGCATAATCAATTTCGTACTTTTTGTTTTATTACCTTCAGGAAAAGATTCTCTATCGTTTCACAAGAAAAAATAACAAAATTTTTTTGTGAAAATTCTTGCACACTGGTGCACCCTATGAAATTTGGCCTCTGGACCCTGAAAGGGTTAATTAAAAAAAAAGGTCGGATTTTTTTTTTCTCATGCACTGCGTGCTGCAGGATTTTTTTTATATGGTGCACACTGACCACACAGACCTATTCTCTCACATGTGGGCCTACCAGCTTTCTCCTGCTTGATTTGAAGCTGCTAGAATTTATGAGTACACCTACCATCCGACTTACAACCTGCTCGACTTACGACCACTCGACTTACGACCGTGTTTTTTATGCCAAATTTCTGGGAAATAAACAACTATTTGTGTTGTACACAGTGTTTATCCTAAACCTTACAATATAAAATACAGTACTAACAACATAAAAAGTAACGTAAAACATGAAATACCAAAATAAAACAATAAAATAGTCATTACAAAAAAGTTTTGTTGATATTCAGTAGTAAAGTTCAGCTTACGACCATTTCGACTTACGACCAGTTTCTCGGAACCAAACTTGGTTGTAAGTCAGATGGTAGGTATATATATACATCAAAAACAGTGGCTCATATGACGTATATATACGACCAAAACAGTCAAAGGGTTAAAGCACTCCAGAGCAATTACTATTTATTATTAATATTATAATATGATTATTACCAT